AAAATATGTTTAGTTAAAGGAGGGACGCAGGATGACTAGAGATGAATTTCTAAAATTTTAGGAGGTAAAATAGATTATCAAGAGAAAATACAAAGAAATATTTAAATTATATGATAATATGAAATTTTCAGAGGACGACTACCCAGCCGGCCCCTTCGGTCCATCCCAGTTTAGTTGTAGCATGCATACCCGCTGTGTGTCTCTATAGCTTCAATCTGCCGTAGAGCTATCCACAACCAAAATGTGATCATATGCCCTGGAACAATTGCTGGCCCAAGAAAAGTAGGAATCCCAAGGATCAAAACCTCAAGCCAATGCGCATATGGTGCAGCAAACCCAATGGGAGCAGAGTATTCATGGTGAACCCGGTGAATGTTCTCATACCCCCATTTGCCATGCAGGAATCTGTGAATCCAGTAATTGGTGTAATCTTCTATCATGAAATATACCGTCAACTGCGCCAGAATCTCCCATTTTGACGGCAATGGCAAACTCGTTCGAATCCCAACCATCTATCAACAAAGCACAAACACTTTTACATAAATCTGTAACATGATTTAGCCAAACAAAATCTAATCAGCGATGTCAAAAGTATTCACAATTGAAACCCAAGAACAAACGAGTTTCCTACTATCATTAAATCAATCACATTCCAAGAAGAATCAAACTTTCACCCAAATGACTATTACCTTAATTGATGGATACGAGGCTAGCTGTAAAGGACCCACAAGAAGAACAAACGTCCGCATAACATCTTTATAGCACCTGAACATGTCGGAAAACGACCTGCTAACCTTGGGCTGAATCTTGTACTTATCGAATCCCATAGATCTCGTCATCTCAACGAAAACAAACGGCAAAGGCACAAAGTAAATATCAGGAATAGAAACAAATGTTGTGGCAGTAAAGATAGTAATCCGATTTTCGAGCCGAGTAATTGAACCAGAATGTCTCGGCCGCCGTCAAGTTCCGTCCTAGGAATGTAGTAGCCTCCTCGATCGTATTAAACGGCAACATCTTTGGGGTTGCCTCGGCGGTATCGGTGACTGTGGAGGCAATGAGTGGTGATGATAGATGTGTAGCGATCAAGAGATGCTGGAATTTTAAAATGAAAATTTTCAGACGGTAATGTTGCTTGTATCAGATAGTGGTAATACAATAATATATAGAATACGTATATCATGCAGTTGTTAGATCGTCGTTACCTGTTTGTCCGCATGCAGGGATAGAGCTATCTTATGAGTGGGGTGGGGGTGTGTGACTCCATTCCGAAATTAGTTTAATTAAATTATTTTTTTGAAATTTTAAAAAATATTTTTTTGTTCAATTACTTGAATTCTTTGGTTTTGAAATTGATAAAAAAATCAAATGAAATCTTGGGGATACTTTGGAAAAAGATGGAAACCCTTGCTCTGCGTACTTTGGAAAGACACCACGTAAGATCGATTGACCAAAAAGGCTCGTCGGCTTGATGAAGAGTCGTTGGACGACGTCCGGGTGATCCGGAGGCAGATGGATGTTGACACGTCCGATAGAACCCACGTCCAGAACCGTTTGCGTCGCTCTCTTATAGAGACACTTTTATAGGTGGTAGTTCTGTTTCACCGACGACTGAAGAAGACATCTTTGAGAAAGATGATATTGAAGTCATGGAGGGAGATGTTCGTGGAGCTGTTGATGGCCTTGTTTCTATTGACTTCTCTCCTAGGGTTCAAGTCATATCGAATAAGAGATTTGATCAAATGGTTGTTGTTAATCTCATGGGGCGGCGTATTGCCTACATGAAGCTTTAGAATAAAATCTACGACCTTTGGAAGTCTTCTCAACCTATCTGTCTCATGGATATTGAGAACGATTATTTTCTTGTTTTGTTTCAAACACGCTCTATCTATTTGAAAGCACTCTTTGATGGACCTTAGATAATAGTTAGGCAATAACTTACAGTTGAACCTTGAACCTCGAAGTTCAATGCCTCTCAACCTTTCTCTAGCAAAATAGTTGCTGGATTCGTCTACCTGGCTAACCGGTTACTCTTTACAAGCTTAGCCTCATTATTGAAATTGGGGAGTATATTGGGACAATAATAAAGATTGATTATCAAACTGAAAGTTGGAGATGGGGGCGCTTTGCAAGAATGGTCGCCAGTGTTATCCTTAAAAAGCCACTAGTATCTAAGCTGCTTATTAATGGCCATGTCCAAATCGTGGAGTACGAATCATTGCCCACTAGATATGATACATCCTCATGTGATTGATATGTCGCGTGCCCCGACTCTATTGGGTTCTTATGCTCACGTTCAGCCTACATGAAACATGCATGTTAACTCTGATGGTATGCATACACATGATATGCCCAAGAAACTTAGGTCTCTTCTTTACCCATCTCTTATTTATGGATTTAAAATAAATGTGTTGGAATGTTTGGGGATGTTGTCACCCTAGATTTCTTATGGTCGTTCGTTAGAATTTGCGACAGTTTAAGCGGTATGTGGTTGTATTTGTTGAGTTACAAATCAGTGGAGGCAAAGCTAATTCCCTTATAGCCTCTATTGGGTTCCCTTACTCCCATCATATTGAAGTTGTTGGATTTTTTTGGCAGAATTTAGACATCATATTATTGCTTGTTAATGTAATACGATTACATATTATTGTTTGATAGAGAAATAAGGTGGGGGGACACTGTTTATGGAGATTAACAAATGAACAAGTAGATAAGGCTTATTAGCTTATCATGCATTTCATATGATGTCATGTGATTGATTTATGTTTTGGCATGATCATGTTTACTTTTATGCACTTAGAGGTCATACTGAATTTTATAGCTCGTTTCTCGTTTCCGTTCCCTTTCAAATTGACGTTGTTAACTAATCTCAAACTCGACACTCTCTAAGGTTCTCATGTTCATTATTATATTGTTTTCAAGTGCTATATTTTTATCTTCAATTTGTGGCTTTTTTTAATATTTTATTGAACTTTAAAACTTTACTTTGGGTATTACATATTTAATTTTGAAAGAGAAAATTAATTTTAAAATTTTGTAATATCCTGAATTTGACCATTACATGTAGGTAAAATTTAGGGTGTTATAACTATATTAATAAAATATTAATTGGCGCTTACGTGACAACTTAAAAATGAATAAAATGCCATGTCACCTAATAATAGTTGAGAAAATGGAAGAGTGCAAAAAAATTTAATGATTAAATTAAAGAATATTTAAATTTTAGTAATCAAAATAAGAGTAAAAAGAAAGATAAATCTTTTAATTTTTCTTATTTAAAAATAAATAGGGTAAACTATACAACTGGTCATTAATGTTTGACCAAGTTTTTGTTTTTTTATTGAAGTTTCAAAAGTAATAAACTAATCATTAATGTTATCGATTTGTAACAAAATAGACACTCCACTGACATTCACGTTATATCGATGACATGGAAACGTCAACAAAAAAAAAAGATTATTAATTAGTTTTACCCTTAAACTACTGTTAAAACATTAAATATGTCCTTAAACAATTATTATATATCTAATTTGTTTTAAAAATAATATTTTTTAGGTTTTTTCAAACACCTCACCACCTCCACTGTAGTTGAAGCAATAAGAGAGTTCTACTTGTTCTTGATTATTGTTAACCTTGAAGCTAGATCCCTCCTCATTAAGAGTATTGTTAGTCCTCGATTCATCTTCAGGAACCATGGTCATATCTGACAAACATGAAAACCCCAAACACATGGACTATAGCAAGAAAAAAGGAGAAGAAGCAGATGATGAAGAAGATAACGATTCCCCAAATTACTCTTGATCTCAACATAGGCTAAGGGCGACAACCATTAACCAGAGGTGAATCATTATTGTCTTATGTTTCATTGTGAACATATCAGAGGACGATAAGGAGAATAAACATTGTGAATTCCATTAATTCTCTTGGTTTGGAAGCTTGTGGGAAATGACATAGTGGCAGCAGGGGGAGGATGGGAGATAAAGAAAGAGATGGTGAGTCTATTAGTTTGTAATGGGGGGAATTAAATATCAAAGGGTCCCCCAGTCAGGGTAGGGCATGTTCCAAGGAGAAAATGAATGTATAGGGTATATCGACATTGCTCTATATTGGATCAAAGAATTCTTTCATTGCTTCGGCTAAATTAGTGCTGCAGTGTTTGGAAAAAAACTGAAAATTAAAAAGTTTTTAGAGATAAATTAAATATAAAATCATTGTTTAAAGACCTATTTAATATTTCAGCAGCAGTTAAAGGATAAAACTAAATATTAACATTTTTGTTAACTTAGATGATGACAGAGTGACTATTTTGTTATAAATCAATAACGTTAATGAAAACTTATTTAAGCATTAGTGATCATCTCTGTAATTTATCCAAATAAATATTGAACATACTAATAATAGGATAAAGTACACAAATAGTCCTATAATTATATGATAATGCTTTGTTGCATCTCTCGACTATTATAAGTTGCAAAATTATCCTTCAACTATCGGGTACTAATTTGTTGATTCTTAATGATTAAAAGTTACAAAATGTTACTCAACTATTCATACTTTTCAAACTCGTCATTTTCCATAAAAAATAGCATCTATTTGAGTTCGACATTAATTTGTTGACTGAGATATAATAAAATTTGATCTGAAAATCTCAAACGACTATACAATTCAAACAGTTTTGGGATTAGATTTTATCATATCTCAATCAGAAGGTTAACGTCCAACTTAGATGATCATCAAATTTTTAATGAAAAATGATGAGTTTGGAACATATGAATAGTTGGGTGACCATTTTGTAACTTCTAATAGTCAATAGACTCAATAAAGCATTATCATATACTCAATGGACCATTTGTGCACTTTACCCTTAATAATATATAATTAAGTACACCATCAAAACCTCAAACATTAATCCTTCATTTAATGTAAACTGTATACCAGTCGGAGTTGTAGATGTAAAACGTGAAAATAATCATAAAATGGTTAAACAAACCCCAAACTCTTCCAAGTCTTAAGCTCAAAAACAGTCTTGCCTGGGGCCCTTGGCTACTTTTGGTCGGATACTTCAAGCGTTTAAGGATTCACAGCAATAAGTCAAGCCATATAATAACCTTCCTCGTCGCTCTTCCGTTTGCATTTGTCACCCGGCGTAGCTTCATCTTCGAAGCAACAAATCCAAGTTAGAAAACAAGGAATAGAGGGTAGAGAAAGAGAGGCATGGTAGATCTCTTCATATGGCTTTCTTCTTTCTTCATCCTCGTTGCCCTCCTCGTTATCCTCGTATTTCAGGTCAATCCCCTTACCTGATCTTTCTTCTTTTCTGGGTATTGCTTTTTCTTTGGTGGGTAATGATTGTTTTTGTAGATTCTTCAATTTATTTGTGTGCATTTATCTGGGTATGTTGAATTTCGTTGTAAAAAATGGTGTGTTGTTTGGTAATTTGGGGTTGAAGTTTTGATTCCTGGAATACTATCTCACTGCCCTTTGTTTTGGATTTTAAACATAAATAGAACTAATGAAGTTTGAAAACTGAAATCAGTGATGTTATTGTTCATCCAATGATTGTTGTGGTTATGTTGAGAACTGAAAAGGGAAATTTGATGATTTTGGTGCAGCTCATATGCTTGGCTGATTTAGAGTTCGATTACATCAATCCTTATGACTCTTCATCGAGGATAAACAAAGTGGTATTGCCTGAATTTATCCTCCAAGGATTTTTATGCTTGTTCTATCTACTAACGGGGCATTGGGTTATGTCACTGTTATGTGCTCCATATTTATACTACAATGTGACACTGTAAGTTCTTTCTCCCTCTTCTTATTCTACGTTTTATCATTGGTGTACTTCTTTTGAGGAAAACTAGCTTTGGTTCAATGTTAATTTCAAATTTTTTCACTGCAACTTCCTTAATATGCTGGGCTTGCAACCTTTGTCGATTAGGATTTATACCTATGTCTGTTTGGTTGATCAATTCTATTTAGTCCCGACTTTGAGAGCTCGTTTGATGACGCAATTGATGAGTTTTGGGCCTTGTGGCTCGTAAGGTTAATGTGTAACCTATCCAAAGATATTCATCGATGGATGGTCAAATAGCTTATTATATAGGTAGAGCATTGGAACTTATGAAAATTGAAATTTTCTCATATGCCTATACGTTGCAGGAAACTCATTGCAGTTAATACACATATTTGCTCTCTCTTAGTTTATAGAGTTATCCCTTGAAGCACTAATTGTAAAGAAAATCTGATTCATCTTATGACTGTGTATGCATGTCCTATGGGCAATGTTTATCACTAGATGGAAACAATAGAATTTAGAGTGCTTAGTATTGCAAGTCGCAAACAATATTATCTATCTCTTCTGCCAAGTTAGATGGATTCGAGATTCACATTTTGGTTACGATTAACCTTGTTTTCTCACTAGCTATTGAAGATTGAATGCAAGAGTCTTGTTGGTCCCTTGCATAATTTGTTGAATAGTGTTGAAATCATGTATGCTTTGGGTTGTTTTCCTAACTTTCCCTGTTATCAGTTACACTCGGAAACAACACCTGGTAGATGTTACAGAGATATTCAACTTGCTTCATTGGGAAAAGAAGCAACGCATTTGTAAACTAGTCTACGTCGTCGTTCTCATATTCTTCGCCATATTCTGGTATTTTTTTTGGTCTCCCTAACAGTATAAAAGATCCTCCCTGTAAACATGTTGCTTTTTTATCTTTAATAGCCTACTAACTGGGAACTTCCATGTGTGTTTCTTAGGATGATCTACACTGCATTAGAAGATGTCGATGATTAACCGAAGATGGGGACGGCTTGTCTTTTTTTTTATTCTCGAAACTGTTTGTTGATCTAAATTGTTGCATTTGGCTGTTCTTTTACAATCATCTTTTTTCAAGTTGGTTCTGTTGTAACTGATACATAGCATAAATTTCAGGGTTGTATGATTGTGAGAATTTCTAGCTTACTTTAGTTTTCTTTTTCTTTTTTTACTATATTAAGTTTGTCTCTTGCTTCTGAATTTGCTGAAACAATGAGCTATTTACTTTGAGAACATATGCTTACAATTTTTTTTAATAGTACGAGACAATTATAAAGTAATATTTGTTCATAATTTTTTTAAATCATTGATAACGCAACTGTTCGAATTAAATGATAATTAGGGGTTCGAGTCCGAAACCTCATGTATAAAGATCTAACATCCAACCATTTAGTTAGGTCAAGTTTTATTAATTATTTATCAAAATGTTTATTCAAGTTATACTTTCTAATCGTCTTAAAATTATGTTAAAAAGTAATTAAGGTGGATCCTATTAGGGATCCTTGCAAAAAAAAAAGTCAAATGTTTAACCACTGAATTAAGTTTTATAATTACTTATATTTCTAATTAAACTAATATTTAACTACTATGATTAAAATTAAATATCAAATTAGAATTGTTTTTTCACCTCATTGAGAAATAAATTAAAATAATTAAATATTTATTTATTTTTGTAAAATTAATGTTAAATCATTCTAAAAATAATTTATAATATTTATTTAGGATCTAATCGTTGCTTTTTTATTCAAATAAAATTACTAATTGTGTGAATTAATTACTTTAAATATAACTTAAATATAAGTTGTTTAAATACTCGTTATCATAGTAAAACTCTAGCCGCTCACCGCTAGGGGTGTACAAAAAATCCGAATATCTGATTTTACGAAAAAAATATCCGAAACTGGATTTGGAAAAAACCGGTTTTTTTTAACCGGATCGGATTTTTTTTAAACCGGTTATTTTAACCGGTTTGGAGAAAAAAACCTAGACCGGTTTTTTTACCGGATAAAAAACCGGTTTGAAAAAAACCGGTTAAAAAAACGGTTTTTATCCGGAAAAAAAACCGGTCTGGGTTTAAAAAACTAGCCGTTAATATAGCCGTTGGGAGGGTTTTGTGACGTTTTTGACCGTTTTTTCTTTAAAAAATTACCATTTTACCACCCTAAACATGTATAAATAGGTTGAGGATGTATTTGGTTGATTACAAATTTATCAAATCTTATTACACAACACTTAAACATCTCTCAAATCTTACTTTTGTAATTTTTTGTTCATCATGAGTAACACGGCTGAATCTTCCGTCGGGGGAAATCTTGAAGTCGTGAGAGTGATCGAACACACTCGAAACAAAGACATTTGGGATCACTACGATTTATGTGAGATGTCAAATGGCTCGAGGAGGGCGCGTTGTAAACTTTGTCTAAAGTTTCTTGCATCGGAAGGAAACACAACGTTGAAGAACCATTTGACAAAATCATGCAAGGCACTTCGCTCAAGATCAGATCCTAGTCAATCGAATCTTACACCGCAAGGTGGTGTTTTTGTTTACGACAACGAAAAATTACGAGAACCGTTTACAAAGTTTGTGATTACAAAAGCATTGCCGTTCGACCACTTTGATGATAAAGATTTCACGATAACAATTCAACAACTAATGCAACCACGTTATACTCAAGTAAGTCGTACTACCCTTAGAAGAGATGCTATAAAAATGTGGCGTACGGCGAGGGAAAAAATGATTTTAGGATTCCAAGAACACCGTTATGGTGTGTCGCTTACATGTGACGTTTGGAGTTCCCCTCATAATACCGGAAATTCTTTTTTAGCCGTTACGTCACATTGGTTAGATCAAGATAATTGGCAAATGATGAAAATAACAATCGCGTTTGAATTATTCGGTGAGCCGCATACCGGTGCTAATTTATTTACACTTTTAAAAAGGGTAATTTGTCTTTATAAATTAGAAAATAAAGTTTTTTCTATATCCTTTGATAATGCATCGAATAATACAAACGCGGTTCCAAGATTGAAAATATTACTTTCACCGATTTTAGACGGTGCGTTTTTTCATACCCGTTGCGTTGCACACATAATTAATTTATCCGTGCAAGCCGGTTTGGAGGTTATTGAGCCGATTAGATTAGAATTTAAAACAATGATAAAATCGGTTCTTTGTAACAACAACAAAAGACTAAATGATTATAAACGATTTTGTAAGTCCGTTAATAAAAAAGCTTTGGGTCCTAATTTGGATTGTCCAACTCGTTGGAACTCAACTTGGATGATGATGCATACAGCCTTAAGGCAAAGGGAAACATTGCAAACATTTCACGATCGGCTTTTCGAGAGGGGTCATGTCCCAAACATTTATCCGGATTCGAGTTGGGAAACTATAGCCAAAATAACCGATTTGCTTGAGGTTTTTAAAAAAGCAACAACTTTTTTATCCGGTGTTTATTACCCTACTAGCCCGTTGGTTCTTAATCAAATATTTTTGTTGGCTATCCGACTAAATGACTTTGAATTTGAAACCGAAGTTTTTCAAGAAATTGGCTTTGCAATGAAGGAAAAACTTTTAAAATATTTTAAGGAGATTCCCCCCATTTTTACTTGTGCCGCCGCTTTAAACCCAACGTTAAATATTGGTGGGGTTGAAACACTAATTGAACAAATTGCGTTTGCTTTTAATCTAACCGATGATGAACCCAACTTTGTCCAAAACCAAATAAATTATTTTAACAAATGTTTTCGAGACATGTTTGCAATTTATTTAACTAAATACGGATCAAGTAGTGTAATACACGATCAAATGAGTATGAATGCGGAATCATCTAGTAGACGTCCAAGTAACATAAATTTGAATATTTTTAACACTCTTGTAAATTCCCAATCCAAACGATCACGTACTACCACCCCAAGTAGCGAGTTGGGAAATTACATGTTATGCGATTTTCTATCAAAAATGACATTTGAAGAGTTTGAAAGTTTAGATATTTTGGCTTGGTGGAAAGAAAAGGAAGCACAATTTCCGATTCTAGCCGCCATGGCCCGTGATTTACTAACCGTCCAAGCTTCTACGGTAGCTTCGGAATCCGCTTTTTCTGTTAGTGGCAGGGTTATATCGCAACGGAGATCAAGACTAAGTCCCGAGTCGGTGGAAGTATGCATTTGTTTAAAGGATTATTTGGATGGAGCGGCTCGTAAGCAACATATCACCACCCTAGAAGATGCAATTGATACCGATTTGGAAGCAAACTTACACATTGAAGAAGTCGAACTTGGAATATCCCCTCCAAACGAAGAAGGCGAAGATGATGAAGAAGAGATGACAATGTAGTTTATTTTATAACTTTATTTCAATTATCGTAAACTTTGTTTCAATTATCGAACTTGAAGTTTTTAAGTATTTGAATTTATCAAACTTGGAAGTTTTTAAGTATTTGAATTTATCAAACTTGGAAGTATTTAAGTATTTCAATTATGTTGAGTTAATTAAGTATTTCAATTAAGTATTTGATTTTATCGAACTTGAGGTTTGATGCTTTCTCTTTGATTCTCTCTTGATTCTAGTTGCTTGATGTTTCCTGTCTTTGATCAATGGCTTCTAAGCTTGCTTAAATACACCTTGAATCACTTCTGAACGTTAGTGATAATTAATGAAGATAATATAGTCGTTTAAGTGTGAAAACATTTAATAAAAATGCTTGGAGCGTGGGGGAATCGGTACCCTCTCATAGGGAATCGATTCCCTAAGTGTAAAATTCAAATATTTCGACCGTTGAATAGGGGGGAATCGGTACCCCCTATGGGGGAATCGGTTCCCTCCGAGCATTCTGGAAATCTCGGAACCAAACCATTCAGTGAGGAATCGGTATCCCCTTGGGGGGGAATCGATTCCCTATGAGCAATGTGGAATATTAAAATCGGTTTTTTTATAACCGGTTTTTTAAAAAACCGGTTTTTTAAAACCGAAACCGGTTACACCGGTTAGGATATCCGGCCCCCCAAACCGGTTAAAAACCGAACCGGTTATTTTATAAACCGGTTTTTTTTCTATGAGAAAAAACCGGATCGGATAAAAACCGATCCGGATCGGATTGAAATCCGACAAATGTTCATCTCTACTCACCGCTATTATTCTTGAGGGGTTTTTTTTCTTCCTTTTATAGATCAGATCAATTTTTTCTTTTATTTTGTTTAGTCGCCCACGACTCCAATTTTTATGCTGGTTATAAACCATCGGTTCTCTTTTTTTCTTTATCTTTTAGTTTTTTAATAAGAATAATTATATTTTAGTGATACGTTTTTCTTTGTTTTTATGGTAGCTTATTTTGTCTTCTTTCTCAGACGTTTGGTTTCTTTTTATTTTATGTTTTCTCAGGGTTGGATTTGACGGCCACAACTGATCAAATACTTTTTTGTAATTCTGTTGATTTTCTTGCTACAAACTCTCATATTAAATTTGGATACGCGATCTTGCGTTCGTGGATAGTTTCTTACGACGCTCGGCTCTGATTTGCTATTCTCGTTGGTCTTTCAATAGCTTAATTATCTTTTGTGATTCGTTTGTCGATGCAGTTAGATTTGTTCGTATCTATTTTTAGTTTGAGTCTTTTGATTGGCTTTTTAACCTTCTCCATATATGGTCCTTGTATGAAAAAATGTTCAAATTATGTATTCAACTTACTATAATAATTGTAAACTCTTATTTTAATTTTAAATACTTTTAATTTTTAATAAGACTAGCGAATTATATTAAAAGAATATAACTTAAATATAAATTTAATAAAAAGTTAACAATATTTGACCTAACTCTGTGAGTAAGTGTCGTCTCTTCAATCTCATTTAAGCAACATGATTTTTTTGTTTCAAATAATAATATTAAAAAATAACATATGGGCTACTAACGAAGAGAGAGAAATGACGTTATAATTAAAAAAAAGTATTATATCATTATCGTTGTTAAATTTTTAATAAAAAAAGAAATAATATTGATGATTTTTTATTAAAAATTTAATTTAATGACCAAATTAAAAGAAACAATAAATTCGTGACTATTATTATAGTTTATCCTTAATATTATTAAGAGAATGTAATCCTTTTTTATACTTTCTTATAATCATCGTTGAATAAATTTAAAAATAATTACGTAAATCTATTAATTAATTATTAAATGTAAAAAGTCATATTTAAATATTTAAATTTAGAATGTGATTGAGTTTTACCTTCGACAACAAAAAAAATGATGATGTAGTTATTTGTATGGATTATTAAAAGGATTATCTAAATATAAATAAATTGGCATCGACTCAGTGATCTCAATGATAAAGGAATTGTTCTTATTTCTTGAGGTCTCGGGTTTTAGTACCAGAAATGTAAGTGGTACGAGAGTTCAATGTCAAATAGTTGAGAGTTATCTTCAAACAAATATTACCTTATATTTACCCCAAATTATAAAAAAAATTGATTAAAGTACACAAGCTGTTCCCAGACTACAGGGTGTTACTTTGTTGGATCCTTCAACTATTAAAAATTATAAAATGGTCATTCGACAATTCATATATTACAAACTCGTCATTTTCGTTAAAAAGTTAATGGTTGTTTGAGGCCGACATTAAAAATAATACTAAAATAGATCTTTGGTGTGGATTTGAGTCCCTTATAAGCCCTTTGCTCTCTAATTGTTCCATTCAATCTTTTCAAGTTTCATCAACTATGTAATTTAATCTTCGTTATTGCCAATCCCCTAATTGGTTCGTCATCCTCGTCCTCTGAGGAGTTTCCCGATACTTGTTACAAATAATAAATATTTGATTATTAAGATTCTGATCGACCACATAACTAAAAAAAGTCCCACCAAAAATAAAAGAATAATATTCCAAAATGATAAAAATATTATTCCTCTAATTACATAACCTTTGCATGGATAAAGTGACAGGGTCACGTATACGAAAGAGTGTCAAGTGCACTCATTTCTTTTAAAATTTTTATGTATAAGTTCTGTATAAAAATAATATTAAAAATAAAAATTATATCGCTTTTAAAAATGTAATGTATTAATTTTTAAATTATGATATTTTATTTTAAATTTTTTAACTCCGTAAAGTTACAAAACCCTTGTGATAATTTATATCTTTTGCACAGACAAAGGGATAAACAATTCTCACATCACAGTGTATAATTTTTGCACGTAAAAAGTTGCGAACCCTCATCTCAATTAAATCTCTAATCACATCTCTTATCATCGTCTTAGTACTAAACATGAAACCCTACTCCTTGTTTATAAACCTATTACCATACCAACAAAAATCTATAATTACCAACAAATCTTATTCAGTGAGCCTTCTCACATTAAATAAACTTAAACAACAAATAGTATTCACACAATAAAATTATATTACATTAGAATCCTAATCAAATATTCCCAAAAGATAATTAGATCAATCTCTAATTAAATTTGACTTCGGATACTTCTCAGGTTTAGAGGTTTATCTTAGTTCTAATTAAATAAATCCACACCAATTAGTCAGCAAGTTAATGTCCAGCTCAACCGACCGTCAATTTTTTAACAGAAAGGATGAATTTGCAACATATGAATAATCGAGTGACCATTTTATAATTTTTAATAGTTGGGGGACTCAACAAAGAAATATCTTGTAATTGGGTGTCATTTTTTTATTTTACCTTTATACGATCTCTAATTTTTAAAAGAAATAAAGAGTTTGTAAGGTATGGATAACTAGGTGATCATTTTGTAACTTTTAATAGTCGAGGGACTAAAAAAAGTATCTTATAGTCAGGGACCATTTGTGTAATTTACTCAAATAAATAAGTATTAGGTGCAGCAGCGGGTTAACTGGACCCGACCCACGATGAACTCGTCTTTATTTAAAAGGGTTCAGTTTCAAAAGGAGGTAGCATTCTTCAGTTCTGTCTTCTCTCGACAGGTATGCCTTTCTTACATAAACTTGATTTCTAGAACTCAATGCTTCTTTTTCTTTGATTCGTTTACATCTTTTAAGTGTGGGATTTATCATTTTGGAGCATAAAAGCAAAAAAATCTGTCAAGTTTGATATTTATTAGGATTATCTCCACAATTTATGAAACATTCTGCTGAATTACAACACTGGAACAGAGTTAGATTGAAGTGAAACTCTGAAACATTTGGTTATTTCTCTATATCTTGATTTGATTGATTTCAATCTTAGAGATTTCCAATCCAAGTGGTTTAATTTATCCCCCTTCGAGCCAGCCTTTGTATGTTAGATGTTGCTTCATAGGGTAAAGAGATTCTTAAGTAATCAGCTAACTATCAAACAGGCGAAGCAAATTCATGCTCAAATCCTTATTTTCAATCTTAACCACCTTCAGCCCTTGTTGGTTCATCAGTTGCTTCTGTCGAAAACCAACTACTCTGCAAGTGTTTTCATGTATGTTCGAGAAATCCTCTACCATTTGCCCGATGCTTTTTCATGGGGTTGCACTATAAGGTTTCTATCACAGCGTGGGAAGTTCCAAGAAGCTTTTTCTCTTTATGTTGAAATGCAGAAGCTTGGATTGTACCCAAGCACACACGCCATGTCGTCTGCTTTAAGAGCTTGTGCTAGGACTGAGAGTAAAACCGGTGGGATTTCGATCCATGCTCAGGTTCATAGATATGGGGTTTGCAATTGTGTTTTTGTGCAAACAGCTCTTGTGGATTTCTATACGAAACTGGGTGATATGGATACTGCAAAAAGGGTTTTCAATGAGATGCCTGAGAAAAATGTGGTCACATGGAATTCGATTTTATCCTGGTACTTGAAAGCTGGAAATTTAGGAGAGGCTCAGAGGGTTTTCGATGAGATGCCGAAGAAAGATGTTATATCTTGGAATTTGATTCTTTCAGGGTATGCAAAGACGGGGAATATGGATCAAACGCTTTTGTTTTTTCGGCAGATGCCGGAGAAAAGCTTCGCTTCTTGGAATACCTTGATTAGTGGTTATGTTGAACATGGAGAAATAGAATCAGCTCGGAGATTCTTCGACATGATGCATCAAAGGAATAATATTACTTGGATCACAATGATAGGTGGGTACACTAAATGTGGGGATGTAAAGTCTGCTCAAGAACTCTTCGATAAAATGCCTGAGAAAGATAATTTGGCCTTTAATGCCATCATATCTTGCTATGCTCAAAACAGCCAACCAAAGGAAGCCCTGAAGTTGTTTGATGAGATGCTTAAATCAGGTACCAGTATCCAGCCAGATGGGGTAACTTTGGCAAGTGTTATATCTGCTTGTGCGCAACTAGGGGAATTGAAATTTGGTTCATGGATCGAGTCATACATAAATAAGCATGGAATCCAAATGGATGACCATATGGTTACTGCTTTAATTGATTTGTATTCAAAGTGTGGGAATGTTGATAAGGCCTTTAACTTTTTCAATGGTCTGATGAAAAAAGATGTTGTTTCTTACAGTGCAATTATAGCGGGATGCGCCATCAATGGTAAGGCTGATGATGCCATCAAGTTATTCCAGAAAATGGTGGATGCACAAATTCAACCAAATTTGGCTACCTTCACTGGCTTATTAACTGCCTATAATCATGCTGGCCTGGTTGAAGAGGGCCACCAATGCTTTAATTCTATGAAAGATAATGGAGCTGTGCCTTCAACTGATCACTATGCAATTATGGTTGATCTTTTGGGCAGGGCAGGAAGACTAGAAGAGGCATATGAATTAATAAAAAGTATGCCTGTGAAGCCCCATAGTGGCGTTTGGGGAGCTTTGCTTCATGCATGTACAGTACATAAAAATGTTGAATTTGGAGAAATTGCAGCTCGGCATTGCTTCGAGTTGGAGCCTGGTACAGATGGTTATTATTCTCTCCTTGCCAATATTTATGCCTCTGTGGGGAGGTGGGGTGATTCCCGACGAATGAGAAGGAATATGGAAAGGAAGAAACTGGCCAGGATACCCGGTTGTAGCTGGACAGAATTGACTTGATTCTTCCTCCTTTGACAGGAGCAGGTATTTACTGCCAACTTAGATGCCATCGAACTCGGAATATGATCTGGGACTGTTGGCGAGTTGACATTGAATGGGCCAGCTTGTCCTTCAACAAAATGCACGTAGTACCACATAATTTGGGTACAAGAACATCACTAGATGACAAATCCAATACTATGCTGTCTCTAGTTTTCCTTCTTTTCTGGACTTTCTCATTGTATCTCAAGGATTCTGTTCTATTATGATTTTGCAATGATCATCCCATGGCACAGTTCATTGTCAATTGGAATGCTTCGATGCCATCATCGTAAAAGTTTACAGAACATTTGTTTGTGCAACCGGACGTGTCGGGATGAAACGGAGTGGCATATTTGAGGTCAGAGAACAGAATTCCTATAGAAACCATCTTGAGATTATTTCCTTTCATTTTCATGTTATGCATTTCTTGATCAGTGGAGCTAAACAAATAGATACTGTATATGAATATGAGTAATGGTTAAATTTATTTTACCTAGGCATAATACACAGATAAGTGCCCAAACTATAATTTTTTTCCCAATAGGTGCCTAAAGTATTTTTTGGACCATCCAGGTGTCTAACGTTACAAGCGTGACCACTTTAAGTGCTTAGGACGTGATAATTGTTCGTTTTCTCCGTTAAATGACACATGTTACAATATGGTAATTTTGATTTTTTTAAATATATTAAAAATATTATTATATTTATAAAAAAAAAATTCTAATTTCTTTTAAATTACAAAAAAAGCTTCAAAATCCGTAAAATCTCCAAATCCTAACACATCGCTGCCACCTTTTTCGGCCACGACCACCGCCGTCGACGTAGTCCCTACCATCACCTTAGTTATATGCCACTGTAGTTGTTGTCGATTGGCATTTAGAATCGCGTGGGATCACGATTTTTATCCTAGGGTTCGTGGGGTATAAAACTCTGATTGGATGTTGATCGACCGTCGATCAGTCACGATTTCATAGGGATTTTGGTTGCCGGGGGAGCTAAGGTCAAGTGGAGCTTCGTCGATGACAAAGGGCGGCGGGCGGCATGGGTTTAGGGATTGAAATGAAGGTTTTTAAAGTTTTTGGGTTATTTCAAAATTTGTGTTTTCTTTTTTTAATATATAATTTTCTTTTTTTATTTTATATAAAAATTTTAAAATTATCTGATGACATGTGTCATTTAACAGAGGAAATTAACGTCACTGACGATCCAGGCACCTAAAATGGTAACGTTTGTAACGTTAGGCACCTAGATGAATAAAAAATTATTGTAGGCACTTATTTGGGAGAAAAAGATATAATTGGGTATTAAGCCTTTTACCTAAAATATCTATATTCAATATTTGTTTATATTAGTTAGGATGCATTTGGTTCACATGATATAAAATTACGGTTGAAAACAAAATTATAGAATGTGAGATTTTAGTATTTGATTAGAAAATATAAGATTATTTAGAATTACATCTTACTGATCACTCTTGTTACACAATTTGTTTTATAAATAAATTAGTTATTTTGATATGTAAACATATTTATTTTTTAAAATATAGATTTCTCTCAAAACAAATAAAAAATATAAAAAACATATAAAAAAATAGGGTAAATTATTAGAATGATCACTTTCGTTTCAAATTTGTTCATTTTTATCATCGATTTTGAAAAGTTGTATTTCAGTTACTTGCGTTATCAATTTATTAAATTTTGGTCATTGTTTGCTATATTTTCATCATTGAATTGTTAACTAATGTTAGTTTGATGATGTGGTGCATTAGTAAAATGAGTAAATTTTTAATTTGACCCTAAACTTTAGACCAACTATCATTTCGACTCTAAATTTTAGATAAAATATCAATTTGACCCTTGTCACTCACCACTGTCGTAGCCAGTCATCATTGGCCACTATCGATGACGATCTTTGAACCCTAAAATTTTCAAAAAAAATTAATCTTCTAAACATGAATTTGATGTCTGTTTCACCGAAAAGCATTCTAAACTCAACAAATTTAACCTATGAGCTGGAAGGAAACAGTGACGGGACTTCAATCCAATTCTAACATAAAGTAATTTAATTCTCAATCATGAACGAGCTGAAATTTTTAATTTATTTTTTATTTTTATTAAAACATTGTGCACTTGTGATTGGCAAAATCTAACAAAATATATAACTAAAATATATCTAACAAAATATATAACTAAAATACATAAAATAGTTTGAATGATATTGTTAGTTTAAAGATTAAAATTTAATAAATTAATAGTATATTTTATAAATATTAAAAAGTTAAAATCAATATTATAAGCATAGAAAAAATTCTAAAATAATAATATTATAAAAAAATATTGATTTGATTATAATATAAATTTAATTTTTTGGTACCATCAACCTTAATAAACCGCTGCTTAAGATCTTTCCAAGCTTCATTCTTAAGATCTTTCCAAACTAATGAAGCACTTGACGTAAACACTATGCCATCGGATAATTATTGACTATGTTTCAGACCCAAGAAAGAAATATAGCATTGCATCTATCCCGTTAAACATGAAGATTGCACGATCGGCTGCAGATACCATCGATGAGCTATATCTTATTCTTGGCAAACAAGGATTGATCGAATCCATAGATTGTAATTCTCAACCGCATTCAATTTATGAGAAACGAGGATGAATGCATAAAGGATGAGTGAAATCAATTTGAGTTTTCATGAAATTCAAACAATAAACCAACTCTCTCAGTAAACGTTACATTCAAAATATTCTACATGGCACAACAACTGCAGAAGCCTAATCTAATCAGCTGACCAAACTAAGCTAGTGGTGAAAATTAATAAATAAACCCTAGGTGAAAATGAGCATGATGGTACATATGAAACAACGACGACGAGAGAATGAGATTTCCATCTATTGTGGTTTGTTTGCCGGTGCTGTCAGTATCAGAAAACTTGTACTGGCAAATAATGTCGGGAAGTTTAGATTTAACTTCCAGGCACAGATACATTAATGTCGGTAGGTTTATTCCTTGTATCTGAAGGCAAAGGAGACCAACTATCACTGTGGAAGGATGTAGTGATGTTCGATTTCGGATCAGCACTAGAAACGGGAATAGCAGCCACTGGTGCGGCAACTGAATACGACTTGTGCTTCTGTTTCTTAGGCTTCGGCTCATGCTGGTTCCCTGCTAGAAAACTGCCCACTACAACCTGGTTCACAAACAACAGAAAGTAAGACATTTAGAGGCTCAATCTTCACCGGGGTTTGAGGTAATCATTCACTTAAAAGAAAGTTGTGAAAACCCAGAAGAGAAAACAACAGAGGCAAGACAAAACGGAAGCCGAACCTGCACAGGGCCAGCAGCTACTAGGAGACCAGCAACTCCACCACCTACAACACGTCCATCTGGACTTGCTAATGAAACACTCATCCCACCAGATCTGCTTCTTGTTGCACCAGTGTCATTGGGCATGAATGAACCAGACAAGGACAGTATCTCAAATCGACCCTGCAAGAAATTTGAGAAGGGATGAGATGTTTGCTGATGAAACAAAGTAAACTACAGAAATAGGCCGATTAAGGAAGTCGGTAAACCCTATAGGATCAATGCTATATTCCAATCAATATGCTAAAAAAAAGGATCAAGCAAATTTATTTTGAAGCTGTATATTGACAAAGATCAATTGAAGCTTTGACATGATGATATTTCTTATTCCTGTAAATTCTACATTTCTAGGTAAGAACTAAAATTTTAAACACCAATCTGCAGAGACTTAACAAGAATAAGTATCCATGTTAAGAGCCTAGATTTAAAGAGAAATAGGGCATTACCTCATATGTCAGTGTACCCCCAGAGGAATCGGGTTGACGAAGAGTGACACTTGAGATCACACCATTTGCAGAGAGAATGCATATAGCTCGAGGCCCTTGTTGAGAAAATGATATAATCTTCATCGTGACATCCTTAAACAACCGGAAAAAAAATAAACAATGTAATATATTAACAAGTTTTACTTTAATATTTGTATATAGCTCGAGGCCCTTGTTGAGAAAATGATATAATCTTCATCGTGACATCCTTAAACAACCGGAAAAAAAATAAACAATGTAATATATATTTTTTTTGATAAAAACAATGTAACATATTAACAAGTTTTACTTTAATATCAACTAAAAATCAGGACGACAACAGTACTCCCAATCCATATTTTTCCAGCAATGAAACAATGGAGTTTTCAAAGTCATCCCAAATAGAAATCCCCGCGACCCTTACGCAGATGTAAGTTAACGTCAAGTTCAAAATAACAGTAACATACCTCACCAGAATTAACAGTGATGAAATGTGGTGTAAAATTAGCCCCAACAGAGCATGCAACCCATTCACCTACAAAAGCAGTCTTACAAAATCAGAAACAATAAGAGTCGTCTCTCTGCAAAAGATCCTCTATCGCCAAAGCAAACCAAAAAGCTAAAAACACGGAATTTGAAGAATTTTACATCTATGAAAACTATTAAACTCATTATTCCTATAAAATGAATAATTGGGGAACTCAAAGATTAGCTCAAAGAGTTGATACCATAAAACCAAACCATTGTTCTTACTACTATTGAATCATCCTGCAAGACTATTATAAACATCCTAGGGAGTCCATGAAACTTATCAGGTTGCAATCTGATATTCCCAAAACAGTGCATACTGTATACTTTGCGTACTTCGCTAGTCTTAAAGGCACGATACTCGATCTATGTGCTCCGCAACTTGAGTGGATGGGAGGAAAAACTAGAGAACTAAACTAGTAATCAAAACTAAACCCCAGATATATTCATCCATACCACATGGTAGAAAGAATCACACAACTGACATACAGCCAAAAAATATCGAAAGCATTACGAGTTATTATTCGAAGAAACCAACAAGCAACAGAGTAAATCCAAAGTCCAAACTCAATAGGCCAAAGCATAAAAGCAACTTATGTTCTCCTCCGTCTAGCAATGAGATCAGCCAGCAAATAGCAGACAGGTTTGATATCCAAGTCTCCTCATCATCAATAGGGAGAGGGTACCTTACACAAAATTTGCTTCCAGTAAGGCATGACAAGTGGAAAAGGACACTAGCAACAAGAAGATTCCATCATTCCCATGAACCCCACATTACCAAACCATAAAACCTTTCACTATCCTTCATAAACTACCACATAGAGACTTATCAGGAGATCTCTCAACTAGGGCCATATCTACACACTTAAAACAACACAAAAGGGAAACATTCATCACCATAAAACACTGAGAATCCATGTTTTAAACATGGAAACAACCACCAAATCAATTGGAACTCAAAAAGGGTATTCACCATAATGGTTAATTGTTTCTAACCTATATTCTCCAGCTCGAACTTAGCCTTCGGAAACGACGTCGGAGACTTCACTTTCCCTCTCTTGCCAACTGAGAAGTCGATCACAGGGGGTGGCGCAGCCGTTGATATCGGCTTTGGAGAGAGCGCCATAGTGACTGAACCATCCGGTCCATATTTCCTAGGTCTTCCCCTCTTCTTCTTCAGCGGCATCCCCGCCACCGCCAGCGTTTGAAGGACTGATTGCGACGCCAGTTGTGGAGGAATCTGCGGCGGATCTGAGCCAGGATTCGAGCTAGGGTTTTGGGTCGAGTTTTCAGACCTTGGAGCTATGTGGTAGTCTGATGGAGCATCAGATCCTACCACCGTTACCCCAGTAGTGGCCGTAGTAGTAGTTGTGGTATTAGTATTAGTATTAGTAACAGCTTCTCTTGACTCCATAGTTAAAACTTAAACTTCCTGAAATTTTATCAGAAACAAATTTGGATTTTAAGCTCAACAAACTAAAAACAAGGTTAAATTTTTAAGAAACAAACACCCAAAACAGACAAAGTTGAAAGATGGTAACTTTTAACTTCAAACTCGGGAAAACTTCGAGTTTCTGGTACTAATACGAGGTTTTGAAGTTGATTTTGGAGCTAAAACAAGCTTTTTTCAGTTAAACTCAAACAGAGAATATGGAATATGGAGGGATATCAAAATTTTGAACTTTTTCCAGTAAATTAGTTTTGTAGAATAGAATGAGATTTGAGAAAGAAAGGTAAAAAAAGGAAAATGATAAAATATAATAAAGAAATGTTTTTGATTTTGTTGTTAAGCTAATTTAACTTTTCATACTCTGTAAGAATAATAAAGTAATGGAAAATGAAATATTCAAAAATGGTGGCTTTAATGAAATATATTATTATTATTTGTAGTCATTAATTATTTTACTATATTAAGATATTGATATCTTTGTTTTGTATGAATCGATTAGTTGGTAAAACGCAAGGCTCTTAATCTTGTGGTCGTGGGGTCTAGTACTATAGTAGGTAAATTCATAATTACCGGAGGTCTTACACGGAAGTTGCTCTTAACCTAGTGTTAGGAGCATCCTACTGCCCTACCTCCTCCTTATCCTATTACATATGGGAATATGATCAGTTAAGTTTTTTATAATTAAAAAAATAATTTAAAAATAAAAAGTGAAAGTGGGTAGTTAATTTTCCTTTCCGTCTTTTAATTTTTCAAGGTAGTGGGTCATATATGATTATTAAATAAATTTAGGGTAAACTACACGTTTAGTATCTCAATATTATTTTTGTTTCATTTAGGTCACTTAATTATTATTATTTTTTTCAAAATTATACCTAATGTTATGTTTTGATTTGGTCATTCACCATTAAAAAATAATAGAACTACCGATGTGGTATTTTTATTTTTTTCCAATGACAACGTTACATTACCTTATGGTGATACATCATCATCACTGTTATTTTTTAACGACAGGTGATCAAAATGAAACCAAAACTAAAAGTTAGGTATAATTTTGAAAAAATAATTAGGTGATTAAAACATAAAAAAAAGATAGTTGGAATACTAAACATGAAGTTTACCCTAAATTTTATTTTATTTTTGAGTGAATACCAAGTAAAATTAGGTTGCCAATGCTTGAAGAAATTGTCTAGAAAAAAGTAAGAAGGTTAGAGAAATGCAGCAACAAAACAACTTTTTCATATAATGTATTGATTCGTTTAAAAGGGAAAAGAAATTCAAACACATTAAAAATGTGAAATTTCGTAAAATCATATTCCAATTCCAAATTGCTTTTATTTTCATTACATTTTAAATATTGTATCAAAAAGGGAAAGTCATTATGTAAACTTTGGCCTGAATTTAAGATGACACTAGAAATCCTATTCGCATCAAGAAATTGATATAATAATACCATATTATTAATATTATTTATATTCAATAATATAAATACTTTTTTTTAAATTTTAAGAATCTTATATTATCGAAAATCATGTAAGATTCTAAAATAATATTATCTCATTTGATTTTATAATATTATCCGATATTGATATGGTAAGATAATTAAAAAAATAAAATATTATTTAAAAACATTTAAGAATTATAAAAAAGTAATTTCATATTTTTAATATTTCATTTTTAAAATTTATTATTTTTGTTAATTTAATCCTCTTATATTAAATCCGTTTATAAGATAATATTTATTATATTAAATATATATTAAATATAAAATTTAAATAAATGTAAATTTTATATCAATTTTAATTTAAAATTAAAACTTAAATGTATTAAAAATCTATTATAAAGATAATTTAGTAGATCTACTCACGTGACCTTACCCAAATAAAGTTAATAAGATATATAACATTCCAACAATATATCAAATAATCTTATATTTAAATAAATTCCTTTTAAATAATTAAAAATTTCATTAACCAAATATCTCTTATTAAATAAATAATTTTAAATTACCTCGATAACATGAGTCTTTTGATAATTTTATTCTTATTTTCTTATGTGTTTGACACATCGAAATGATAATTGTAACTATATGTATTATTATAAATCGAACACAATTAATATTGTGTACATGATGAATCTATAAAGTGATCTTAGTAGTTAAATGGAGTGTTGTTCTCTACAGAAGTTTTATGTTCAAGCATTTGTATTTGCGGGTGTGTGTACGTTGTAAATTATTAAAATATATTATAAATAGATATTATCTTATAATCACCTACTATCTTACATTCCCTTACCCCATTACATATGGGAATAAGGGTCAGCTAATTTAATAAATTTACAATTTTATTTTATTATTTCGTCAAATTTAGCCTTAAACCATAACATATAACATATTTACATTTTTCACACATCAATGTATAACATGTTTTAGTAAAGAAAATATATCATTTTTCTTTCTTTTCTTGTCACTTTGATCAAAATTATTTATTTTATTTTCTTAGAAGGGGTTTATGAAATTAATTTACTATAGAAATACATTTATTTATTTATGAGTAAAGGTACTCGATTCATGCTCACTACATAATTTTATTGTTCGACTAGTTTCTTAAAAATTTTACTCGAATCGTATTTGTTAAAAAATATTGTCGCACAAATCGACTCTTTGTTAAAAAAATGTTGTTATAATACTCTCGTGACCTAGACTTATCCACATACTCTAAACGAGTAAGATAGCTAGGTATACGTTCCTTGTGCAAATGTCACTCATGTTTCACCCGAGGTAGTAACCATGTGAGGTCACTATAAGTATGTTCATGATGCGAGAGTGATATAAGTCTCATCCAAAATACTTATATTAGGGTCTGTTTATTTGTCTCTAATTGATTTTTCAGAAAATGAATTACTGGAAAATGAATTACTGTAATTTGAATTCTGGAAAATGAATTACATTTCTGAAAAATGAATTACATTTCTAAAAAACGTTTTATGATATTTGGAAGATGTTATTTAAACCTTTTTTCCACTAGTTGAAGAGTTTTTTAAAAATTATTTATTACAAATATTAAATATAACAAATAATATTATTTCTCTTAAAACTTAATATTATTATTTTAAAATATTAAAATAATTTATTTATTATTAATTTTTTTTATAATTTTATTAATAAAAATATTAATATTGGTATATTTTAGTGAAATGAAATATTATAAATTATATTAATTATTTATTAAAGTAATAGTGTTATATTATATTTTAAATATCTTTACTAAAATATTATTTAAATATAAAAATAATATTATTCATTATTAAATATATAAAAAAAATTATTATATATTATTAAAATAAAAATAATATCTTATATTATTATAATATAATTGATTATATTATTAAACTAAAAAAATATATATATATATTATAAATATTAATAATATATTTTAAATATTTTAATAATTAATATTTTGATGAAAATGATATTAAAATATTTTATTAATATTAAATTCATAAAATAAAATTATTTTGAGTATTTTTTCTTTGAAGTAAAAAGTTCGGAAAATGAATCCGTAAGTCATTTTACAGAAAACACAAAGAAAATTTTGTTACTAGAAAAATGAATTACGTTCCGGAAAACGAATTACGTGAAACAAACACGAGAAAATATTTTCCGGAAAACTAATTACATAAAACAAACACAGGATTTCGAAAAAAACCAATTCCGTAATTGGTTTTACGACAAACAAACACACCCATAGGGAACTAGAAGGATGTGATTCTTGTGATGCGCGTATGACCTCAAACTACCCAATGACGCCTGCTTGTATGTTATGTATGGATGTTTGAGCTCCGAGACTCGAGCCTCATCCTTAATTGTTGTATTGTGATTCATGACATGGACATCATTGTTTTTTTTACTATGCTTGTTGGTATACTTTGTAATGAATGTGTGTATTATAATAGAGTTATTGTGTGCCACCGAACTTTTTAACTTAATAGTTATAATGTGTTTTTGTTCGAATGTTACAAGTTACATGGTGCATAATAGGACAACGATATAATCAAGTGAATCTTAATAGAGTATTAGGATACAATGATGGTGGCTTAGTGGACATGTAGAGGTTATAATCTATAAATGTGTTATAATATCTTATTTTTATATTAATATTTTGGGTTTTCAAACAAAGAGATATATATTTTGTAAAATGTTATATTTTTATATATTGTTTAAATGTTTTAAAATATTTAGTAAAAGGTTTTAAAATAGAAATATTAGTCACTTTGATGATTTCGTGTGATACTGAATAGATTGTTACACTAACATTAATTATTGAGCTCACGTCATCCCAACTTAATTGCATGTCTATTTTAAGATTTCTTTTAAACTTACAATTTAAATTATTGAAAATAAGAATATTTTAAAATATTTTACCATTTTTATTTTTAATTAATATTTAATTAACTTAGTATATAAATTTATTCAATAATTTTATAAATAATGTAGATTATAATTAATTATTGTAATCAATATAAAATTGATTATTTTATTTAATATAAAATTATTACTACGAAAAATAGCTTAACTGATTTTAACAAAATCATATAAATATTAAACTCACCAGACAAACATCATCCAACCCCATGGTAAAAAGTACTTTTTAATGGCGTGATATAATAATATCATAATATTATATCATGCTATCTCTTGCCTATTGTAAGTATTTTTCTTAATGCATATAAAATAATATTAACAATATTTTATAATTTATATATACACTACCAGCTACATGTATATTTTAGAGAAAATAACCTCACTGACCAAAAATCCCATATAATATACGATTTTAACCAACTTTTTCCGGATTTGCCAAAATGACCAACAAAATCGCAATGCGATCGCTAATTCGCAACGCGATCTCCATTATCGCAAATTCGCGTTGCATTTTCGCAATGCGATAGTTGAAAATCGCGTTGCTATGGTCTACAGTATCGTTGCGATTTTCCCAATTCGCAATGCGAATAAGTAAATCGCAACGCGAATTGGGAAATTTGCAATGCGAATAAGTAAATCGCAACGCGAATTGAGAAAATCGCAATGCGATACTGACTATCGCAATGCGATAATAAAAAATCGTAACGAGATACTTACTTTCGCAACGCGATACTGACTTTCGCAACGCGATAATACATAATCGCAATGCGATTTTCAAAGCGCCATTAGTATCCTGGCCAAGTATTTTATTTTTAAATTCCAAACATGAAT